ACAGAAATGGCCACTGGCAGAAATCCCATGACAGATAAATGCAGCTCACATACTCATGCTGGAAAGAAAGGTAAACCTTGAGTGGAGGGAAGGCTCATCTGCCTGGGTGTAGCCAAACACTCACCTGAGCTACCAGAAACCCAGCTGAGAGCTGCGAAGGGCATCTGGAGCAGGCCAGCACAGGGGGCATCAATCCACTCGTACCTTACACTGGTTCTGAGAATCTTGGCATCTAGTTTACTAATCAGAAAACTGAAAATGACCGTGACTGCCCTGAAGTGGCTGCCTGGGTCCTCGCTACAAGAAGGACCTCATGGACCTCCTTCTGCCTTTGTCTGTTGCAAGGACACTGAGTGTGCGCTTAGCTCAAGGAGCGGTGCCAGGGGCTGGGCTTCACACAGCTCAGCCCTGTCCACCAGGAGCCCACATTCGTGATGAGCAAAAGAGACTCACAGACACAGAAGGCAGCACTGCATGTGTGCTAAGCTTCTCAAGGGGAGACCAGGGTGACACAGCCATCGTGGCCTCCCCGCGTCCTGTGGGTTCCACACATTGTGGGATGCAGGAGTCCACGGGAGGTGCAGGCTGTGTGTGAAGAGCCTCTTTTCCATTTCCTCCCTCCTTCCTTGCTCAGCTCGCTCCTTGCTTCTCTCTGTCCCCTGAACATGCTGGCTGACTTTCATCTTGCCCTCGGCGGAGCGCACCCCACCGGTTCCAGACGTGGGACAGCATGGGTGCTGTGACCACTGCTCTCTGCTGTCCTCATCAAAGGGAGTCCTGAGGATCAGTGGGCAGTGCGATGTTTAGAAACTGATTACGGCGGTGCCCTTGATACAAAAGCCTAAGTAAATCCTACCTGACTTTCCTACTGCCTCCTTCACTCTTCCCAGTTTTATGAGGCCTAAGAAGTCTGGACGAATCAATTAATAAAAAGTGTAGTCAGAGGAACAAATGGCCCCTCGTGCTTACAGAAACCAATAAACCTGCCCCTGAAGTGAGGGGTGAACCGTGTGATAGAGGCAGAGGGTGGGAGTTATTGATAATAAGGGAACATTTGACAAGAGTCTAGTCAAGTAGAAAAGCACCAGACAGAAGAGAGACTTTTCCTGGAACCTCAGCTTTGCCACTCTGTGTGTGACCCTGAGTAGGAAACTTAACTTACTTAGATCTATTTTTTGACCTGTAACATAAGGTTACTTGATTAATCCATTTCTAAAACCTCTCGAAAAACTAAACATGTAAAATCATTTGTGAATTTTTCCAAAAAGAACAAGATTTGAAAGGAGGGGAAAAGGCAGATTCCAAAAGGAGGAAGAAAGAATATGCTCCATTTTTTTTTTTAATAAGGGACTGAAAAGGGAAAAAATGAACTTCAAAAAATTTTTGGCACCAGATAGTTATAAACAAGGGGAGAGGATGGATCATGTGGCAGGACTTGAGGAGATGAAAGAGAAAAGATGTCAAGTGACCCCGAGTGTGAGAAATGGCAGAGAATCAGGATTACACAGGTTGCAGATGGAGCATGGAATCTTTTAATTTCTCCTGATTAGAATAAAAAAATGTTTTCTATATGAGACAAGAGGGACTTGTATTGGTCCTTTTCTATTGCTTACAGTAATACACCTGGAACTGGATAATTTATAAAGAAAACTAAATTTATTGCTTATAGTTTCAGAGGCTGGGAAGTCCAAAGTCCAGGAAAAACATCTGGTGAGGGTCTTGGTGGTGGCAACAGTGACCCAGGGGTCTCACATGGCAGAAATGCTGGAGCACAGAGGTACTAACCTCTCATGTTAGAACCGCTCTTCTTTTAAACACCTCAGAACTATACCTCTGAGCACCATTAGTAATCCATTCACTAGGCATGGTCCTCTAATCTGATGACCTCTTCAAGGCTCCACCTTTTAACTACCATAGTGGGATTTCTCACCTTCTTGACAGTCATAGAGGGGATCAATTTACTAATACATAATACTTGGGGGACACAATTCATATCATTCAGCCCCTGGACCCTAAAGTTTTATGTCCTTCTCACAGATAATACATTCATACCCTCCCCAAAGTCTTAACTTGTTTCAACTCAACAGTCCAAAGTTCAAAGTCCCACTTGTGACATCAAAACAAATTACCTACTTCCAAGACACAATGGTGGGACAAGCATAGGGTACATATTCCCATTCAAAATGGGAGAAATAGTCAAAAGAAAGGGGGAGCAGGACCTAAGCAATTCCAAATCCCAGCAGGGCAGGCATTAAGTCTCAAAGCTGGCAAATCATGTACCTTGACTTCACATTTGACGTCCTCTGCACACTGGTGTGGGAGTTGGGTCTCCAAGTCCTTGAGCAGCTCCACTCCTGTGGCTTTCCTGGTCTCAGGCCACACTTCAGCTCTCCCAGGCTGTTGTTCCACCCTGGTAGCTCCATAATCTAGGGTCTCCATGGTGATCCTCCTCTCACAGCTCCAGCAGGCATGACACTGATGGGATTTCTCTACTGCAACTCCAACACCACATTTCCTCTTGGCATCGCTCTAGCAAAAAATCTATGGGGTGAATTTGCCCCTATGACAGATCTCTTCCTGGGCTCCCAGGCTTTTCCATACATCCTTTAAAATTGGGGTGGAGGCTTGCAAGGCTTCACAGCTCTGGGATTCTGTGAGCCTAAAGACTTAACACGATGTAGATGCTGCCAAATGTTCTGGCTTTTATCTTCCAAAGCTGCAGGTCCAGCCACACCTGAGGCCAATTTAGCCATGGCTGGAGCAGCTGAAGCAACTGAAGTGCTGGTGTGGGGAGTAGCATCCTGTGGTGGCCCTGGACAGTCCTTGTAAGGTGCCTCAGGCCTATTCCCCAAGACCATTCTGTCTCCCTAGTCTTCTGGGCCTGTAATGGAAGACTCAGCCTCCAAGATCACTGAAACGCCTTCAGGGCCTTTCTCCCTTTGTCTTGGCTATCAACACCCAGCTGCCTCATAGCCATGCTAATGTCTCTACCAACCAGTCCCTCTGCTGCACCATTGAATTTTTCTCTTGAAAGTTCTCTCTCACTCTCTACCACATGGCCAGGCTGCAAATTTTGTAAATCTTTACACTCTGCTTCCTCTTCAAATTCTGGTTTAACATCATGCCTTTGCAGCCATAACTCAGCATAGGTTATTACATGTAGCCATGCAGCTTCCTTAATGCTTTGCTGCTTAGAAATTTCTTCCACCAGATACCCTGGTTCTGCAGCTTGAAGTTCCACATTCCATAAAATCTGGGGGCATGAATAGAATGAAGCCAATTCCTTGCCAGTTTATAGCAAGGGTGATCTTTGCCCTAGTTTCCAATAAGTCCCTTCTCATCTACATCTGAGATATCCTCAGTATGGCATTTAGCATCCATATTTCTATCAGCATTCTGGTTGCCACCATTTAACCAGTTTCTAAAAAGTTCCAAACTTTCTCTGGTTTTCTTGTCTTCTAAATTCCCACCAGCAACTAGGCTTTTTCTAGCCTGCTCCTTCAAATTCTTCCAATCTCTGATCACCACCCAGTTCCAAAGCTGCTTCCAGATTTTTAAGTATTTATTATAAGAACACCCCACTTCTGGTACCAAATTTCTGTATTAGTTCATTTCTTTTGCTTGTAACAAAATTCCTGGAACTAGGTAATTTATAAAGAAAACAAAATTTATTGCTTACAGTTTCTGAGGCTGGGAAGTCCAAATCCAGGGAACACATTTGGTGAGTGTCTTGGTAATAGCGACAGTGACTCAGGGGTCTCATATGGCAGAAATGGCAGGGGAGAGACAGTCCAGCCTCTCATGTGCTCTTCTTTTACCACCCTCAGAGCCAGTCCCATAGCCCCCATTGTTAATCCATTGACCAGGCTTGGTCCTACAATCTAATCACATCTTCAATGCCCCACCTTTTAATTACCATAATAGTATTCCCCACCCTCTTAACATTCACAGTGGGGATCAATTTACTAATACATAAAATTTGGGGGACACAATCCATATCAGGGTTTCAACAAATAAAAGATACACAAACCTGATAAACACAGAAGAAAAAACAAAAAACTTTGAAAAGAACATTAAAGATTAGGAACAACATTTCAGCTATAAAGAAAAAGTGTGCTCTTCCCCCTGTCTAGAATCTTTCCTTTCTTCTGTCCTGGAAGACCCGCCTTTCCTAACTCCAGCTAAAGTCTATAAGATTCTGGAAACTGACCTGCTTTTTAATTACATAAGCCTCCTTTTTTACTTAACTGGGAAGGAATGTCAAACCATCCATGGACAGAGAAATGGAACTGAATATTCCCGGGCCACTGTAGCAGATAAGATTCTGGAAACTGACCTGCTTTTTAATTACATAAGCCTCCTTTTTTACTTAACTGGGTAGGAATGTCAAACCATCCATGGACAGAGAAATGGAACTGAATATTCCCGGGCCACTGTAGCAGTGACAGCCTGAGCAGCACGGGCCATGCAGGACTTTCACTATACTACACATGTGTCTGACCCAACAGAAGGAGCCTTTCAGATGCTCTGGGCCTCTATGTCCTCAGATTTGAAAAAGCAGCGTCTGAGCTGTACTGATTGCTGTAGCCCTCTCCCCATCCAGAGCAGGGCGTGTAAGTTTGCGTGTGCATGCCTGTGTGTAATGGTTGCTGTCACAGCAAGACTAGTCATTGTGGTTGTGGTAGCTTGTTGGGCTCTGTCTCAAATGCAATCCAATCGGTTCATGGTGCTAAAAAAAATTGACATTACCAAGGCATCAGCCCTTGCAATGAATCCCGTCCCAGCCCCCTTCCAGTCCCATCCTAATCAATGAACTTCAATAGCTATGCCTAATCCTTTACTGTTTGATTGCCATTAAAGACTAATTGGATATGGTCACAAATGCCTTTCATTCTTCGATGCAATGACCATTTGTGAAAACATTTCTTGACCATTTAATGACTCTGTTAAGAGTAAAGTAGGGGCTGCCAGTCAGCTCAATTTGTGGCTTACTGTTTGATTGCCATTAAAGACTAATTGGATATGGTCACAAATGCCTTTCATTCTTCGAGGCAATGACCATTTGTGAAAACATTTCTTGACCATTTAATGACTCTGTTAAGAGTAAAGTAGGGGCTGCCAGTCAGCTCAATTTGTGGTAGCATGGTGTTATAACACCAAGGTCAAGGGTTAAGATCCCCATACCAACCAACGCCCCCCCCAAAAAAAGAGCAATCTAGTGGAGCTCCGTTTCATCCATCTCAATCCCATTCCCTTGGCCAGAAAGGAATTTCCTACAACAACCTACATAAAAGTCTTTAAAATATGCTCTTCACTCCATGTGAATGGTACTGACTGCCTTAGGCTCAGTGCAGTCAACTACAGGTGAGTACTTCTCCTCTGCCTGGTCCCCAGCATCCGAGCCCTGTGGGAGATTCTTTGCATGTGAAATTCAGAGCCACCTGCACCATGAGCCTTTTCGTGGAATGCGTCAGGGCCCTGATTGTAACCTGCTGGTCCATGTCGGGGCGAGAGGTTAGGAATGGTGGTTTCTGTTGCCTTGAGTCCGCTGCACTAGTCACCTTTTGTATTTTTTTTTGCATGGGTCCTCCGAGTCCAATTCCAATACTGACCGCAGCTGCCCCAGCCTCTTGTTCGGCTGAGCCACTGCTGCTGGACGTGCATGTGCTCTGGCAGCAGTTCCCTATGGACACATCCCGTTAAATGAATGGGACGTCAGGATGTGCTAGGTACGTTCTGCCGCACTGGACAGGTGCCTATTGCTGGGTGTTCCTGGGACGCCAATCAGCCGGGCAGCGGTTTGCAGTGTTGGCAATGAGGGGTTAAATTAGGTGCCCACTCCCTGGACAAGGGCTGCATGGTCAGCACAAAGGACGAGTACGTTAAGATGTGTAGGCTGCATGATTTAAAAGAATATAAATACAGAACTGCATGCAGCATGAACCAGAAAGCTGCTGTGGCAGCCCCCCGAATGCTCCCCAAATAGCCAAACCTGCAGCTCAAGTGTCCTGAAGAAAATGAACCCAGGAGCAGGACCAGACTCAGCCTCAGCTCTGCTAGGGTCCAGTGACCCAGAGCCGTTATTATCTAGTGTTGGAACTCAAAGCCAGCACCTTCCAGGGCATGACAGGGCCACCAGAATTGGGGGGAGGGACGAAGGGTGGGATTTGCTCAGTGCATGTTAGAGGTGAACCCAGTGCTGATGGTGGGCATGTGATCCTCTAGGTCAAAACTTAGAGCTTCAAGTAAATATCCCTGTCTGTCAATGGGCTGTCTAATAAGCATATTGCCCAAATGAACTTCACAGAATGTGACATATGTTCTGGTTAGTACAGTGGTTGGGCATCCGAAAACTAGTAATCTCCTCCACCTACCCAATTGCTACCTCTTTCACCTACTACAACTGCACAGTACCTTGGACAGTCTGTCAGCCATGGACCCCCATAACCAGAACATTTTAGTGTTATCCGCACGATGACACTTACGCTTTCTTAATAATCTGAGGCCTAACCTATTCTAAAGCATTATCTGAATCATCAAAAAGATCTTTAAAAATATATTTTACAGTTACTTTTAAAATTATTTTTCATTTGTTTGTTTTCAAGTGTAATGTAAAAAGAAAAGTGCTTAGGACCAAAAGAAAAAGGCATTTGTGCTTAAAAGTTATGTATATCAGAAGGCACGTTTTCCATCCAAGGACTAGTAATACAGACGAGTCTACTTCGCATTTTGAAACATGTAGGTTTTCCTAACACTGGAGTATCCCAACCCTCGCATTGTCAAAGCCCCTCACCTGACTCTGGGGGAGGAATGCCAGGCCCTCAGAGAGCGTCTCAAGGCTCCACAAAGGCTTCTCCCGGGAGACCTGGAGCACCTGAGCTCATGTAGGGAGGAGGGGGCGTTACCCCAGGCCTCCAGCTTATTTGCGGTTCTCCTGTGTCACTGGTTTTTCCAAATAGCAGGAACGCCCCCACATCTGTTCCAGATGAGAGAGAGGCCCTTGAAAAGAAAGGAAAAGGAAGGCTGAGAAAGCCCAGGGCAGGGAGGGCTGCGGTTCCTGTGGGGGAGGCAGAAGACAGCAGGAGGGAGGCTTGGGAAACACCAGATCCCATCGTGGGCTCTTCCGATGCTGGGTTAGACTGGGATGAAGTTCCAAATATGCATACCTAGCACTGACTTTATAAAAGGAGGAAAGTGTTAATATCTTACAAATTGAAAAGTGATTTGCAAGATTTTGTCGTTCTTTGAATTTTAGTAATATATTTAAGAAATCGGCCAGAAACAAAGTATGTTGTTTATTAGGAACTTTCTTTCCTTTATAAAAGGAGGAAAGTGTTAATATCTTACAAATTGAAAAGTGATTTGCAAGATTTTGTCATTCTTTGAATTTTAGTAATATATTTAAGAAATCGGCCAGAAACAAAGTATGTTGTTTATTAGGAACTTTCTTTCTTTCTCTTTTGGGAGAAGGTTGCAGAGGAGTACATCAGAATGAGAGTATACCATTTTTCCATTTTAAAATGTCTTTATTTTTTGTCTTTCTGTACATTTCTTTATTGTTTCCCATTTATGACAAAAAGCATTGAGACAGTAAAATGTATTTTTAGAACCAGATCTGTTTAGGAAAAAAAAAAGGTTTTGGATTGAAATGTCTTATGTATAAAGGCTTAAATATTTGGCCAGAATCATTCTGATTTACAAATGTATTCTGCTACTATAGACAAAGCCTAACTTTATATTGCATTTTTATAATTTCTTTTAAAATCGAGGGTATTAAATATATATATATATATATATATATATATATATACACATACATATATACATAGTATTTTACTAATTAAGTCCTCATGTTGGAGCTTTTTCTTATAA